AAAAGCCAAAGTAGCCCAAAACAAACTATTTCTGAGAGATAGTTTAAAACAGCGGTCGCCAACCTTTCGGACCTTGCAGACCACCAGTTGGCGACCGCTGGTTTAAAACATCTACAGACCAATTTTTCACATCTGCTTATGAAACTACTGCTGTCATATTTTGATAAGCAACTCAATAAAACAAAGATACTCTCCAACTCCTTATCTGTTAAAAGGTAACACATTGCCCACTAATAATGATCAATTATTGAAATTCAAAGTTAGTTTTTGAAACAGATTTATTGAGCATTCTACTTTTGGGTGGATCAATTATTCATTCAACACAATGGAGGGACCCTTCTAGATGCTGGGGATATAGCACTGAACAAAACAATGTCCCTGCCCTTATAATGAAACTTACATTCTAGTGGCTGGTTGAGAAAATTTTGTGCAGGTTTACTTCTTATCACTTATTCTGCTTCTCCATACTTTCATGGCTCTTTTACATATGTACTATGAAAGAGACTTCAGTAGTTTTAAAGTTCAGGTTTGTATGCACCCAAGTAACTGATTTTAGACCAGGCCTTAAAAGAAAGAGTTAGAGAAGCAATAAAGGAGTTTCAATTAGTAAAAATTGCACTTCAGATAAAACCCACAACCTACTGGGGCACCATAAAATCAACTCAGTCAGAATTTTTTGACAATAACTCCCATCCAATCACTTCAAAAAGGCTGATAAAACTTCACTTTATCCCTGTCCTTGACTATTTCTCAGTATCAGTTCTCTAAATTTAAATTCTATTTTTGAGAATTTATTTAGACAAAATTTCATGGAAATTTTATATATTTAAAATGTGCAAAATTCTAACTGAAATAGGAAAGACTGGCCTATCCCCATGTCCATGTAAACCCTCCAAAGACATTTCAGAAACATCTAAAAGTCACTGCCCTATGTTATCAAAAATAATAGCAACAAAAAGCTTTTTAAAAAGTATTTAGATCCCGGCTGGCGTGGCTCAATTGAGGGTTGACCCATGCACCAAGAGGTCACATTCGATTCCTGGTCAGGGCAAATGAGTGGGTTGCGGGCTCAATCCCCAGTGTGGGGCATGCAGGAGGCAGTTGATCAATGATTCTCATCATTGATGTTTCTCTCTCTCCCCCTTCCTCTCTGAAATCAATAAAAATATATTTTTAAAGTATTTAGATTTAAATTACTCCGAGATTCCTGTTGCATAATTCTTTAATTATAATATATCTGACTAGCACAATTTCTCTGAGCCTTAAATTTTTTCCCATCTACGAAATCATGACCTTATGCAAGAAGACATGACGATCTGTCAATGCTAAAATTATACTATGATGAAGGCTATAATAAAATTAGTAGTGGCCATTTCTGAACTTAGGACAGGCACACTGAGTATACATTTTCATCACTGCAGATCTTCATTTCAAGCTTATGTTACTGTCTCTGCTTTAGATTTAATGCCTTCTGTAAATTATTACTATCACATACCTTTTCCCTAGATCACTAAGAACCAGATGGAAAGTTTTTTGTTTTGTTTTTGTTTTTTTAAAAGCTCTTTAATATACTTATTTTTCCTCAGGGAAGCTATGTAACAGAAACAATGTGTTGGGGGTGAAGAGGACAACTCTGCTTAGGTTTTTTGTTTTGCCTAAATCTGAAAGGGGATGAAAAGAACAGGGAGAAACCAAGTGTGCAAGGGGAGGAAGAAAGAACTAAAACAAGAAAGTATTCTAGATGAATAGGGAAACAACCCAAGGCTTTGAAAAACAGTAAATTACTAAGATATAAGAGATATTCATGCTTCTTCTAAAAATCATAATCCAAAGATATTTATATACACACAATTGTTTTGATTCTTTGCTCTACATTTTCCTCCTCTAAATAATTTATTAACTAAAGAATTAGTTATAATTCAGTATCAGATTAATAAAAGATAAAATGTTATAAGGGCATTTTCATCAAACTGAATTCCAAAAGTATTCCATACTAATTGTCAGTTGAGTACATTTTTAGAAATCATACTCTCCATCTTCAAGTGCTTGATATAAACTTCAACCACTTACAATGAATAAAGCCAGATAATACATTTCTATGTATTCTGCTGTTACATAACACAGAATATTGGTGAATCATATTCTGCTGGAAGTGAGAGATCTGAGGAACATGGTCATGAAAACTAAAGAGCAAACTTTAGTTATACGGCAAAGAAAAAGCATTATAAAAATCGATAGTTACAATTCAGTTCTTTTCATCCTCTAATACTAAAAAAGACAACAACCCAAAACACACAGACATCTTCCACATAGAGGTATGAACTGTGCCAGAAAAGCATTTGTTCTACAGAGACTGGCTGGTAAAGAAGTCACAGCTCTGTAATTACAAACCATTTCTACATAGGATGAACTGTTATAAATATACCCTTTTAGTAATAAGGGTCATGAGAAAGTCACACTATGGATGGTTTTAAGTTCTCAAGGACTACACTAGGACAATCCTGGAATTTCATAAAGTCCTATATACCAGTACTTAAAAATGTTTAAATTCTGAAAGGTTCACAACTATTAAAACCCGTCCTTCCATATAACAATACCTTCCCTATTACACTGACAAAAAGAAGATATTTCTTGCCCAGAGTTTCCCTGGCAACTGCCTTTAGAAGGGCTTTCCTTAGTAACTGTTTTTCATGTATAATCCAAGATATCAATTTTAAGCCTAATCATTAAATTCTATACTGAGAAAAATGTTACCAATTAATATAGTATTTTTCTATCAACTTTGAGATGTATTTTTCAGATGTTAAAATTTAAAAAAATGTCTATCTTATAAATACAACAGCAATAATTTTACAAGGAAATTTTTTATTTAACATACTCCCTACAAAATAGAAAACATGTTGAATAAGACTATACCTCAGAAAATTTGGGTTTGGTCCCAGTTTTACTTTAAAACAACAGAACAAAATGATTTTTAATAAGTCACCATCTCATCAAGGCCAACTATAGATTACATACCTCACAGAATTGTTTCAAGAAATAAATGAGTACAATTACATTATGTGTACCTAAAATGTAAAGTACAACTGTGCTGTCACATTTTTATTAATGCCATACTTGAAAAATATAACATGCCAGAGTCTTGCTATGGTTGGGCTTTATTAAAAAAAGGAAGAAAAACACCTAAATTCTGCTACTTTGTTCATTTTGTCCTCAAAATTTAGCTGAAGTGATAATTTAGCCAGTAAATAAAATGATTTTAACTGTTAAATTTAACAGTACATGTGGAGAATCAAAGTACACTACAGATAATTATAGATTTCTTTTGTAGCATAGTAGAAAATATTTTAATTATGAAAATTCTGAAGAGTATATATGAGGGTTAGTTATCTGTTATAGTACAAACTCAAGTGCTCAGAAACTGGATTTCCTTCTTGTGGTATTATACTTTTTAAAAATTTAGTATTATACACATATTTTTAAATGTAGGCTCCTTTTTTCATTTTAACATAATATAGTTTCAATAGTCTTTCCTAATGGAAAAAGAGGTGCTTTCTAGATTGTATGCCTTGATATCTATCTGTTTGGGGCATTTAATTCTTCCTATTCACAAAGAAAACACTCATTTTGGATATCTTTAAGGGAATTCATCACTTCTGAAAATCAAAGTCAAGAGTCTTTCCTTCATTTCAGTCATTTCTGTCAAATGAGAAATAAAGTCAACTAAATGTTCAGCCCTTACTAGTCCTCCTCCACCATCATCAGATACAGCCTAATAAAGGGAGCTCTTGCAATGAATAATCATTTCAAACAAATCCAAACCAAAGGGAATATAACCCTTTGTTCCATTTAAATAGGTCCATCATCATGTGGATTATCTTCCAAATTAAACTGATGATACGCTAAGATCAACCAACATCATTAGACATAGAATCTAAATTGAGCTTTATATTGAGTCAGCAATATAAAGGAATTTTTTAAGTGACAACACCACTTGCAATTAAGCTGTGTGATTTTAAGTATTTACTAATATATTTTCCCCACAATTATATCCACAATATAAATGCACACAAATTTTAACAAAAATATACGGTGTTTTGTATAAAAGTGTACTCTGCTCAAAAGTAAGAACTATTTTTTAAATCACTTGTATTATTTCTGAACTAAAAGTGCAATTGCTGTTGAATTACTGTGTCTGTATTCCAAACAAGAAACGCTTTTTTATTTTTTAATATTTCAGTTAATTTCAGAGATAAAGGGAGAGGGAGATAGAAATATCAATTATGAGACAGAACCATTGATAAGCTGCCTCCTGCACGTCCCTTTACTGGTAAATGGAGCCTGAAACACGGGCATGTGCCCTGACTGGAAATCAAATCGTGATCTCCTGATTCATAGGTCAATGCTCAACCACTGAGCCACACCAGCTGGGCAGAAATGCTTTTTGAAAAATTGCCGAGGAACAGAAAAAATTATAAAGCAAAGCATAGTAATTAATTTTGAGGAATCCCATTATTGCAGATTAAATCATCAACCTAAATAAATAAGGTATACAGATTCCTCATCTAACAGCAGTGGTTTTTGTTTTAAAAAAATCATAGCATAGCCCTAGTTGGTTTGTCTCAGTAGATAGAGGGTCTGCCTGCAGACCAAAGGGTCCCAAGATTCGGCTCTGCTCAAGGGCTCATACCTTGGTTGCAGGCTCCTCCCTGGCCCGAGCCCTGGTCAGGGCTCGTACAGGAGGCAACCAACCAATGTTTTTCTCTCACATAGATGTTTCTCTCTGTCTTTCCCTCTCTCTTCTACTCTCCCTAAAAATCAATGAAAAAATATCCTCAGATGAGGATTAACAAAACAAACAAAAAGAGTTTTTAAAAATTCATTGTATAATAATTAGACTAGGAATTAACTTTATCAAGTAGTTAAAAAAAAAGGAAAAATAAGATTAGTTCATTTTTATAGTATAAAATTATCAAATAATAGATTTAATAAATACGTACAGTCCCAGAGAGGACATCATGGGGGCAACAGTTGAGAAGGTGACTCTTGCATACTCTGTCATCACTGAATTTGATTCGTTGACGAGTAGTATCTCCTGTAATATAGGAAAGTTAATAACATTCAAGGTTAGACAACTAGAAAATGTTTATTTTCTGAAAGCCCGATTATTGCTAGCCCTTAATGTGTGGCTACAAACACACACATTTATAAATCAGCTCAAGAGGGATTAGTTCTTTATATAATATCTTATGAAAAAAAAATGATTTTAGACAACATGCAGTTGCAGTACGTGTACTGCATATGTAATTTAAATAGTCAAAGTGGGAAAGCAATGCATTCTGTTAAAGTAATTCAGAAAAGCATAGGATTTAGAGCAGGAATGGACCTTAAGGATTATTGAGTCCAACTCCTTCACATTGCAGATGAGGAAACTGTGGCCTGGAGAGGTTAAGCGACTTGCAGTAGACCCACTAGGACAGTTCTACCCGTATACAACATTCCCTACTTGACACTAAGCATTGATTTCTTTTGTAATTATTTAATTAACTGAAAAACATAAAAAGTAATCTTGCAAATATTGCATACACACTGCGAATCCCCACTGAACCCCAGACGCCATTTCTTCCACTATTTTGTTCCAGCTGAAGTGTCTCCCTTTTGCTGCTAGGAGGAGTTAGAGAGGGTAGAATAACGTGTTTAAGAGCGTACAAACCTGGAAGAAGGACTTACACACCAGTCAAACAAAGGCACATTGCCTAAATGAAAAGTTAACTGTAATGCCTCCAAAGGCCCCACACCTCCAAGTTTTATGTAGCCTGTGCTATATATGGCCTAACATTTAAATTCTGTCTTCATATAGCACAATACACCTCCTAAGCAATAGAAGCATCCAACCTGCTAGTGATGCCTATCCACTAAAAAATTTACAAATTCTAAGGAACAAAAGGTAACTAACTACTCTAATAACAGAATATAGATGGCAGTTGTAATTTTTTTTGCTTAGAACCTCTTTGGAAAAAGAAAAAACTCTTCATGACAATTCCTTTATGTAGAGTGGTAGCCCTAAAAAAATGTGTTTTATTTTACCCTTCAATTGATATCATCGTTGATGAATGAAAACCTACTGGTGAATTACTGAAGCGAGAACTGTTGGTACCAAAATAGATTGTAAACACTGCTGTACTTCACATGATGCCTGAGGCACTCCAAAAACTTTCACCTAGGAAGTGATTCAATTATTTGAATTAATTTCTGTTTTTCACATGTGAATTACAAAAATGGTTAAAACTTTACCCCTTTTATGTGGTCTTATTTTGAAGAGTCAACTAACTAAAGTCAACTAAATACTGTCGTTTTTAGGTGGGGTAAGATTTTGTTCAAATTGTTTTAATGTGGTTAAAAATACTTAATTGTGAGTCTGATTTGTAAGCAGGAAATACGTATTTTTAAGAAGAGTAATTTATAGCTAAAATGATAGCTTCAGAGCAGTTCAACAATAGGTTTTCTAGAGGCTAGTCTCTAGTTAAAGTAGGTTATTTCCGACACCACAATGTGGAATAATTCATTTATTGTTCACGCCTGCTACTATAATAAAGGTAATTTTACTGATCCTTTTTTCCTTTTAAACACAACTGCTTTTGTTCCACATTCATTAACACATCTGAAAAGTTAGCAATAACTCACGGCTCGGCGAATGCGGGGCCTTTCTGACACTCCCTTGCAGATTGAAGTAGTCAGGCATAGATACATTGAACCTTTACAAATAAAACAAGGGGCCAGATTGTTCAGTTTGTATAGAATAGACTCTGCCAGCAATTTCAATACAGCATCTAGATGTACATGTTGATTGTAAAGATTCTTGTATATGAAAACAAAAGTGAACAAAATCAGGGTGTTTTTATTTTTTTAAATATTGACTTAACAAGTGTGAAATCTTAGAGAAGAATATAACCAACCATAGGTAAAAGTCCAAGGCTGGAGCTCTCGAAAGTGGTCTTTGGGCCAACTGGGGTTTTTAAAAAAATTTTTAAATATCTATTTCATTCAGACTTTAGTGAGGGCCTTGCGTTCTTGTTAGAATGATACTATAAGCTCACAACAGAATGGCAATGCTTATTACAGGCTTTTTGCTTCTTGGCATGTAAAAAAAAATTTTTTTTATTTTAAATCTGCACCCAAATTATGCTAAGAAATTTAAAGATGATATTTTAAGCAGAGGAAAAAAAAATAAAAAAACTTCCATAGCTAGAAGTCCCCTTGCTACATGTATGTACGCTTTTCAGTAACGCAATAGCAGTGTTGTTTCAGTGCTCTGTCAAAATAATGGCTAAAAGATTATAAGCCAGGCCTTAAAATAAAATCAAGATTCAATAAGTTTTACCAATCAAACATTTCATCAAGTAGGGCGACTGTTTTTGCTTCAGAAATCACAACATTAAATCTAATACTAAGACATGTGCCCTGAAGACACAGCTGTCAGATAAAATATGAACAATTACAAGTATCAATTTAGCAAACATCCCTGATGAGCTTTAAAAGAAATCAGTTTCTATAAACACCAAAAAGTATTTAAAATACCTTCTCATTGCATTTAAGTGATTGCTCTTTATACATTTGATAACTGTAGTAAACACAATATGCACAGCTATCAAAAATCAGCCTATACGGTATAGAAACTTTTAAAACAACAAAATAATAAAATCCCTAGTAATTTGAGATACAGAAATACCCTGAGAGGGACTAGCAACTGAGTATCTGTTTATTGGTATTTTTAAATTTTTACTTAAGAGACTTAAAATTTTAAAAAATAATTTGGCTATATTAACATGTCCATGAAGTACTTAATAAATTTGGGCATACGCCATAAAAGTATCCTTTGGCTAAAACCAACAAAAAATTTTAAAATAAAAATACCAGTAATTTTAGTTTCTATCAAGATATCTGGCCCAAACCATATTTTTCAAAACTAGGTAAAACAGCGCCCATTTGGGGGAAAAAAAGGAGGGGAGGGAGAGACTACAATCAATAGAGAACAAATATGAATCAAATCTCCTTATAATGCAAGGAATTATTTTATGCGTTCGATGTACTTTATCTTTGGGTGTTCTAGGAATATATTCATATAAAAATAACCTAAAGTAAGAAAAAACAATTACCCTGTTACACTATTACTGGATTGAAATCATAGAATCAAACTTATTAGTGAACACATCCTCTGTGGTAGACAATGGGGTTACAAAGAGGCATAGAAGACAAGCTCTGTACCCTCAAAGAGTCCATGATTTTGCTAAGAGAAACAGGACATTCAAATGAAGTAGCAAGTAATATACAATGTAGCCTGATCCAAGTGCCAAACTGATGTTTCAAGTAGTAGTACTTAGGAATTCTAAGACTAGAATGACCACCAAGGACTGGAGAGGTTAGAAAAGGCTTCATATAAGGAGTAGCCAAATTTTGAAGAAAAAATAGGACTTTGACCAAAGGAAAAAGAAATAATTTTTCCATTGTTCCCTTCAATCCAGATTTTGTGTGTAAACAAAGTAAAAAAATTAGAAGTTTAAAAATAATGGGGCAGAGATTAGGCTAAGTTATTTGCATTAACAACAAAATGTCCTACCCATAACAACATGGATGTCTCTCTGTTCTATAAGCTCCACAATAATTCATTAGACTTTGTACATAACTACAATGTTAAGTTTTTAGAATTTAAATGGAAGCATCAAATTTTCTATTAATATTTCCTACCAGCAACTCAACCCCTTCATGAGTTTCATGAATTATAACCTTTATTTGGGAACACCTGAGTCACAGGTGTACAATAAAAACTGAAATGCGTATTATTCCTCTCGAGGTCTCTCAGTAATGTAACAGAGCCTAAGTGGTACTGAGGCAGTTTCACTCAGGGAATATGACCATTAAAAAGAAGGGTGCTGCCAAAACTATACTCAAATACTGCTCTTCTCCAAATCCCCTTCAATCTGTTGGAAGGGAAATTTTTAAGCACACTGTAAATCTCAACACTGCCATTTTATGGTCCTGCCTTTTTCTGAAACTGACTTAGACTTAAACTGTAGTTAAAACCTTAGCCCAGATGGTATCTGATATCATTTTACATGGTGCATGCTATTTTCCCAATACCCACCCCCACCCTCCAGTGCTACCCACCCTCTCCCTCCCATACAAACAATAATTCAAATCAACTTTCACAGATTTAGGTGCTATTTTAAAAACATCAAAATTTTACTTTACCCATTCTCTCCGATGCTCCCTGTATTTTTTTAAGCTGTGAGTGGATGACCATGCTATGTGATCAACAACTGTGAAGGCTAAGCAAAAGTGAACTGAGTTTAGTATTATAATTTCAAAAGAACCTTAAAGTTTGTAATATTTGACATACATAATGGTATGCAGATACCTTATTTTACTGCATATTATCAGGCATTAATCGCAAGCAATTTATAAAAATAACTAATTAGTTGTACAGAATTTTGTACAGAATTAGCTTAAAGCTCAACTTAGGGAAAACAGAGAGGAGAAAACCCAACAGCACAGCACACAAAGCAAACAAAAGCAACCCATTTATAAATGGGGGAAAGCCCTCCCATATTCACCCATGTGACGACCAAAGCTCTCCCCACAGGTACACTCGTTAGGGGCCACATATCACTGTTGGCTTGGGACAGGATAGGCACATTCCCTCTAAAATAAAATCCATACCTCTTCAGTGAAAGGAAAGCCAGAGCTAGAAAGAGAGATATATAACTAAAAACTTAAAGCTTTTTGTTTCCCTGTGTCCTCGAGTCCTCAAATGCAGAGAAATGTTCCACCCTCTTATTACCATTTCTTCAAATATAAGCTACTGATCCACGAATTGGCCATGTAAAGACCCATGGCCAATTTATAGTCTAGGACAGGGCAGGGCAGAAGACCTCCCCTGTACTAGTAAATCATTATGTCTTCATGTGGAACCAAGGTAAAAACAGGTGACTACTGCTGCACAGTGACTATCATACTAAAGAACCAATTTTATTACTTTTGCACCTTTCTCAAATTTTCTCACCAACTCTACTAACTTCTCCCACCTACCTTTATTGTTCCTTTAGAATTCTACCTAAAACTCACCTAGAGGAACTCTTTTGTAATTAACCTAAAAAAGTACCCCATGTTCCCTTCTAAATAAACACACTGTTTAATTTACTTCATATCTATACAATTCAAAGTACATAATTCACTTATATAAGGACTCACTATGTCTTAACTTAAAATCATTATGTTTTGAAAACATTTAATATAATCCGATACACATCAAACTTTTCACGAATATATTACATAAGGAAAGGAAAGAAAGTGTACTCAACCAAAAATGACAGTGGGAAGAACCAGTTATGGCATTCTCATTCTTCCAAATAGCAAGTCACTTCTTTCTAACACAACTTACAATCATACCGAGGAGCAGCAGCTTTTCTTTCCTCCAGAAAAAGGAAAAATAAGGGCACTATACAGTTCAGAAAGGCTATCCCTCTTAATACTTTTATATAGTCCTATAGGTTTATAATTACAAATACTAATAACACTTTCACCACAATCCTATGACAAGCCCAACATTTTAAAAATGCAATGCCCATTGCAGAAGAAATTTGCAGAAAAAGTTCATTCTTGCTGAATATGATCATAGATTCATTAAAATAATTTTTTAAACCTACCAGCCTACTTGTCTATGAAAATCCAAATAACAAAATTATAAGGAATGAGACTAGGAAACAGCCTTGGTAGTAGGAGAAAGAGCTTATAGACTCTAAGAGCTAACAGAATACTAAAGTGGTTATATCCCAAGGCTCTATTCCACCCCTTGCCACAACCTTCTCTTCTCTCATTATACAAAGCATAGAGTCTTGGCCACTGGCAGGAATTAATGCCATCACATTTCTAGGAGGATACATGCTTTAGAATACCTATCTACATATTTCTCCTCTTAGTTTTAAGAAATATATTAGAAATGGGTTAATAGATTCCTAAAAATTAAGTTCTAAAAGTGAATTATATAGAATTTGTCTTATGGATATATGTCATAAAGTCAGTCATTAAAAAGTTGCAGCCTGCTAAATTTATATTTTGATACTTACTTGCAGAGCTGCAATTCTGATTCAGTAAAACTTGTACTCTGGATACCTGGTGTCTTCTATCATCCAGAACTTCCTATACACAAAATTAGAAGTAGCAAAAGCTGTATCTGGCTATGAAGAAATAGCTGAAAAGAACCAAGGAAAAAGCAATGGCTGATTAAAAAGACAAGTTCTGCCCTGGGTGGTGTGGCCCAGTTGGTTGAGCGTTGCCCCATGCCCCAAAAGGTCGCCAGGTCAATTCCTCATCAGGGCACATGCCCAGGTTGTGGGCTCAGTCTCCAGTAGGGATGTGTATGGGAGGCAAACAATCGATGTTTATTTCTCACGTCAATGTTTCTCTCTCTCTCTCTCTCTCTCTCTCTCTCTCTCTCTCTCTCTCTCTTGCTTCGTCTCTAAAAATCAATTGAAACACTTTTTTAAAAGGACAAGTTCTCATTGGTTGATGATGACTACAAAAGCTAAGTAGAGCCTTACCAAATCTAAAAACTAATGATGAAAATAAAAAGGGGAAAAAATGAGAACATCAAAAGACAGAAGTGACAGACAACTCAATGATGAAGGAAGTTAAAGTGAAAAACAGAGAATACCATGAAGGAGACTGAGCCTTACAACTACTGAAACATAGAAGAAATAATGTGTAAAATATACACAAAATAGTTTCCTCAAATTAAGTATTACAAATGAAGTCCCTTACGTTTCCCTACACAGTCCCCTACACCATGTAGGGGAAAATACACGAAATAACATTTGGTCATTCTCGTAAGTCTCTGAATTGTCTTTGTACTTTTTAAACAATTTTTTAAAATTAGACACCTATAATCAGTATCACAGAATTCATCACTTAAAAATAAACACAACTATTCATGGGTAAAATTCTTCACTCCCCACGAGACTTTCAGTCCTTCTAGGATTCGAGTCCTATGTCACTACTTTACTGCAGAGTCAAAAGACAACAGAAACAGCCGAACCAGTTTGGCTCAGTGGATGGAGCATCGGCCTGCGGACTGAAGGGTCCCGGGTTCAATTCCGGTCAAGGGCATGTACCTTGGTTGCGGGCACATCCCCAGTGGGGGGATGCAGGAGTCAGCTGATTGATCTCTCTCATCGATGTTTCTAACTCTCTATCCCTCTCCCTTCTTCTCTGTAAAAAATCAATAAAATATTTAAAAAAAAACCAACAGAAACAAATATGTCCATCATCTTTAAGAAAAGGAAAGGAAGAAGTAACTAAAGCAACTCAGCAATCTGGTGATATTCAAGAAAGTTAAGATTCTATTCCTATTAGCAATTGTGATACCCTAAAACACATCAGATAACAAATATACAGAAGATCATGTCTGGGGAAGAATCCCCTCTAATACTGAGGCAAATTAAGCTATAACACAGTAACTTCTCAATTTACAAATACATGGTTTCTAGAATCTGAGGTGGATCAACTGTTTCCTAGTAAGTATGCCCTACTTTTTCCAGTCCATAACATAGACTCACCACCACTTCACCCCTCTACCCCCCGTTTCTAGTCCAGATGTTATCTTTAATAAGCACCTTTCCCTATAACCAGGCACCTTTTCAATGTCCTACTATGGAGCAGGTTGGTGAAATCCTCCAGAACTGCTGACCACCACACCAAAACACTAATGGAAGGGTGACAACTCAAGCCAAGAAGTAATTTTACCCAAGAAGCCTAGATGGACCTATGAATTCCTACATCTCTCCATCTCACAGTGTGTATTTCTGGCCAGTCATTTCTCCTTAGGGGCGTCAGTATATACAGTTTAAGCAACTTTCCTTTCACATGAATAACCAGTATTTTTCAAGTATGGGATTTGTCCAAAGGATGATTTTAGATGTTATTTGATTTCACCAATATGACGTTTTAAGCACCACTCAATTACTTGGCGATGATTATTATAAGTCAAGAAAAAAGCGTCCACTGGAGCTTAATAATGTGTTTAATACATCTAACAAGTTCTAATTTTTAGCATAGAGTACGTGACAACAGAGTCTAGTTATCTCTTATAACACCATGTTGTTTTCATTGTATTTATTTTTTCTGGGGCACAAACTTTAAAATTAACTTGAATTTTTAGAAAGTGAGTTGACATAAAGAGAAAATATTAAACAGGAAACAGGACAAAAATAGTAAAGGTGGCCCAGCTGACGTGGCTCAGTGGTTGAGGGTTGACCTATGAACCAGGAGGTCACAGTTCAATTCCCAGTCAGGGCATATGCCTGGGTTGTGGGCTTGATGCCCAGTGTGGGGCATACAAGAGGCAGCCGATCAATGGTTTTCTCTCATCACTGTTCTCTTTCTCTCCCTTCCTCTCTGAAATCAATAAAAATATATTTAAATAAATAGTAAAGGTATTATTCTGTGTGACTAACATTTGGGAAAAATTTATCTAGAATAAGGTTTCTCAAACTTTTTTTTTTAAATATATTTTATTGATTTTTTACAGAGAGGAAGGGAGAGAGATAGAGAGTCAGAAACATCGATCAGCCGCCTCCTGCACATCTCCTACTGGGGATGTGCCCGCAACCCAGGTACATGCCCTTGACTGGAATCGAACCTGGGACCTTCCAGTCCGCAGGCCGACGCTCCACTGAGCCAAACCAGTTTCGGCGGTTTCTCAAACTTTTAATGTGTATCAAAATCATAAGAAAGGCTTCTTAAAACAGATTGCTGGCTCCACCCCCAGAATTTCTGTAGGCCTGGGGCAGAATCACGAATTTTGGCTTTTAACAAGTTCCCAGGTGATTCTGGTCTGAGGATCACACATTGAGAATCACTGATCTAGAACAAAGCTTTTTCTTAAAGAGCAAGATGGCAAATTATTTTATGCTTGCAGTATGTCTATTGAGACTCAACTCTGCTGTGGGAAAGCAAAGAACTCACATACATTATGTACACAAATGGGCATGGTTGTATTCCAATAAAACTTTATTTACAAAAGCCGATGGGCCATAATGCCAGCCTTGATCTAAAACATACCCTCAAGTAAAAGAGTATATTGTGTAACCTAATAGTTGGACAGAATACAGAAGCAGTTAAACAACTAGATATACTATAGATAGCATCCAATAAATATCCAACCTATTTTATTGAAAGGCAAAGCTTTGGAAAGTTTAACTTTGGAAGAAGACAGGTCTGCAGAAAACTGAGGTCTCAGGAAGATAAAAAACAAAACAATTTACTATGTTCAGGAGACAAGACAAAAGACTCAGTAAGGGCAGCTGTTTAAATTCTTTTCATGTTAGAATGCATGGATCAGTATCTAGAGTGGTTTGTTTCTTTGCTTGCTTTTGTGTGTGTGTTTTTAATATATTTTTATTGGTTTCAGAGAGGAAGGGAGAGGGAGAGATAGAAACATCAATGAAGAGAGAGAATCATTGATTGGCTGCCTCCTGCATGCCCCCTACTGGGGATTGAGCCCACAACCCCGACATGTGCCCTGGCACAAAATCAAACTGTGATCTCCTGGTTCATAGGTTGACGCTCAACCACTGAGCCACACGGGCTGGGCCAGAATGATTTTTTTAGGAAAAAAATTTACAGACCCTCTTCTCTAGCCCATGTTAAATAGCAAATTATGACATTCAATTGACTGAGCTACGTATTACTTTATGATGGCAGCTCTGACTTTTCAAAGTTGTAAGTTATTCAGTTAAAACAAAACATTGAAGCTGTAGCCAATTTCAGAGTTTTTACAAGCTACATTTCTCTACAGCCTCAGTAAACTTACAAAATTATTAACTCATCTATTTTGGCCTTCCCTTCCAATTTCTACACTAGTGCTGCTACTGCACGAGACTTTAAACCAGTTGGGAAATGTCCGGACCACATAGGGCCCAAGAAATCATTTGGTCTGGCCCTGCCAAGGTATTGAGTTAATTAAATGTTTGACCAAATATAGCTAATTTTTAAGTTGATAATTTTGTATGGCCCACGAATGATGTTATAAATATCCAAATGGGGAGGGGGGGGCGGGGCAGGAAGGGGCCAGGCTATAAGGGGTCAATGGGGGAAAAGGGGGAACATCTGTAATACTTTAAACAATAAACATTAAAAAAATGATTAGCCCTGGCTGGTTTGGCTTAGTGGAGAGAGCATCGGCCTGCGGACTCAAAGGTCCCAGGTTCGATTCTGGTCGGGGGCATGTGGCATGTGCCTTGGTTGCGGGCACGTACGTCCCCAGTGGGAGGTGTGCCGGAGGCAGCTGATCGATGTTTCTCTTTCATCGATGTTTCTAACTCTCTATTCCTCTCCCTTCCTCTCTGTAAAAAATCAATAAAACATATTTTTTAAAAATGATTAAATAAATATATATATGTGTGTGTGTGTGTGTGATATATATATATGTATATATAATCTCCAACCCAGCCAGTGTGGCTCAGTGGTTGAGCTATGAACCAGTCAGGGCCCATGCCTGGGTTGTGGGCTCAATCCCCAGTGTGGCATGTGCAGGAGGCAGCCAATCAATGATTCTCTATCATTGATGTTTCCATCTCTCCCTCTCCCCTCCTCTCTGATATCAATAAAAATATAAATATACATATACATTTATATATATCCAAATGGCAAAAAAAGGTTCCGTACCCCTGCTTTGAACCAAAAAGGAACAGAATGACTTTCCGCGGGTACTGAATCCACAAGGTGCCTGTCAGAAATTTACCGACTCACTAAACCTAACCTTGATCCATGATACCTACTTGCCCTTGATTTCCTGCCACCCGTCTTAAATATGTAGCTCTCACTATCATTTATGCTTATTAGACATTTTACCCAAATGAAACCAAATCAGAGCATGTATTTGCTGCTTATTGAGCTTATGCAGTGACAGACAAAATGATTTTTCTTTGGTTTCAATTTTGTTAACTGAAGTAAAAGAATGTCTCAAAATCATAAGGTTTTCTTGACAAGAAGAGCTAAACAACTGTAAAGAATCCAAGGACAATGCAGGTTTATATGAGGTGATACTATTATTATTTTCTGGGCTGTTCTGTAAATAGAAAAATTATTCAGAGTGCAAAATGCAAAATGAGTTAATAGTGTGTTTGTTTTTTTAAATAAATTCATTATGTGGGTATCAACAAAACTTTCAGTATTTTGATATGCCTGGACCTCAGATTAAGTCAAATATTTGCTAAAACTCTGTTTAACCTTTTTATGTTTAACTACTGTTCAACCTAATGTCTGCTAAAATTTCTCATGCTGTTAAAGAATTTATAAGCTCTAGAGTAAGGAAATACCCCATTATTATTTTTTTAAATGTGTGCTTGTATATTAAAGGCTATGCCTCCTTCACTTAAAATAAACAATTCAAGTGGAATACAAGAATGGCTTACAACTGATCAAGAAATAAATGATTCATTATGTTAATGAAAAAAATTAAAACTAAATGCTCTCGATGTTGATGATAAGTCAAGGAACACAGATTACAGTAAACATGATTTTATGAAGAAAATCCACTGAAGAAAATACTGCTTCAATCCTTGATTAAATAATTTATTTTGCAGAAAGGCATCAATGTCATACTGTCCTATAGGTTCAACTGTTAGGTATCACTACTTTATATTAAGAACAAGTAAATGATTTTCTGAACTGTATTTTCCTGGTTACCTCCTAGGATGAATATCCTTTTAATTTTACATCCATGAACTACAACTACTGTACAATATAATGGATCAACAAAAATATTAAATTCTGCCTGGCCGGCATTGGTCAGTACGTAGTTGAGTGTCGATCTATGAACCAGGAGGTCATGGTTCAATTCCCCGTCAGGGCACATGCCCAGTTTGGGGGGTTTGATGACTGATGTGGAGCACACAGAAGGCAGCCTTGATGTTTCTCTCTCTCTCTCCCTTCCTCACTGAAATCAACAAAAATATATATTAAAAAAATTTTTAATTCTGATTAATGTACTGTATTAACTGAGGAAGTACAGCATCATATGTTTAGGAAGATGACCCTCAAAAATAGCTAAAATTGGCAGGCTGATGTGGTTCAGTGCTTGAGAGTCAGCCTATGAACCAGAAGATCACAGCTCAATTCCCAGTCAGGGCACATGCCCAGGTTTCTGGCTCAATCCCCAGTAGGTGTTGTGCAGGAGGAGGCCGATCAATGATTCTCTCTCATCACTAATGGTTTTACCTTTCTCTCCCTTTCCCTTCATCTCTCTGAAATCAACAAAAACAAAAAAATACAGTATTTATTAGTAAAAATAAATTTTTAAAAATTGGCTAAAATTATCTGAAAGCTTTAACTTGCTCCTTATACTCCCTAACTATAATGGACAACCAATGATGTTACAAAATTCTATTCTATATGCTACATACTATTAGTCCACTGGTTATTTTTCAGGGCAGATTTTCATTCCTCGGCTATTTTAGCCTTTCAGAGATGATCTCTGATCCCATTTAAAGGTTATAGCAGGGGTCCTCAAACTTTTAAACAGGGGGCCAGTTCACTGTCCCTCCGACAGTTGGAGGGCCGGACTATAGTTTAAAAAAAAACTATGAACAAATTCCTATGCACACTGCACATATCTTATTTTGAAGTAAAAAAAACTAAACGGGCAAATACAATATTTGTATTTGCATGTGGCCCGCGGGCCGTAGTTTGAGGACCCCTGGGTTATAGCAATTAAGAGGTATGAAATCCTCAAAACTACCTTCTATAACTTCCCTAGTTAATAAACTAAGAATATTATCTAAATTCACACCCTCGTTTATTTAATTCCTATCCTTGTACCCTGCCAGGCCTGTCTGCAGTCAGAACCAGAGATTTAATCATAACTAAAAACTGTTTTTGTTGGCAAAAGGACTTTAGCTAGGGTCATCCTTGCAATTAACACAACTCAGCACAAATGACCATAGTCTGTGTGAGGACACTGGGTTCCCCCAAGTGTCACATAGACAGGTCTCTAACTGCTGCTTGAATTTCCCTGGGCTGCTTTACTGCTCCCTGTTTTCAAATGGAGTATGATTAGGGAAAAATCAATGATCCCTCTCCCTTCTTTTACTGCTAACAACTAACACAAAGATATTTATAAAATTTAACATATTTTACACTTCATATAAAATGATACTGATATATACCTACTTATGGTTCCTCCCTTCTAAAAAACTTTAAATATGTTTTTCCAACATTTTTTTAGTGGAACATAGGAAATTGCTTGGTTTCCCAATTAACAAATTACAGATTTAACTTGAGGCAAAAAGGTTAAGTGACTTACCCAAGATTACAATTAGAGGTACAGCTGGGGCTAGAAACAAGGTCTCCTGAGTCTCAGCCCAGTGCTCTTTTCCTTAGCCCATGATGCCTTATCAGAAAAATCCAAATACAGTCAGACCCCCAGTTACATGGGTATGAGTTACACTGATTCACATATACAAACTTTATATAGTGTGACCAATGTTTCAACTCACGCGGTACCCTGCTTCCATTTATGCAGTATGCCAGGCATCGGCACGATTTTCAGTGGCACACAGGCGGTTGCCACCACCAGGGCCCTAGGCAAAATTGCAAAGAAGGCAAAGTTTGTCTTTGGCCCTCCCACCTCCCTTATACATTCCTCTCCCACCTCCTAGTCATCCCCCTGCCCAGCCTCCCAGCACCATCATGCTGCCCTCTGGTTGTGCAAAGCCCCCCACTGCCACCACTCACCCTGGACTGTCCTTTCTGAAAGTGCCCAGTGATCAAAAATTACCTCTCCATTTCCCTGCCACTAAAATTCCTATTCCTGAGGATTTCAGTGAAGTTTAGATAATCTAAATGATTTAAATAATTCAAAATAAGGTACATTTAACAGACTTAAATCTCCAAGGAGTTTTAAAAGGAACTAATTAAAAAGATTTTGGGGAGGAGCAAAAGGAGTCTTTTATTGGAGGGGGAGGTGCAAGGTAGTCTCAGGACACTAAAGGTGGAGGGAATTACTGCCACCTTGTGTCCCACTATCCTAGAAGACAGTGGTCTCTAGGATTAAAATTTAAAAACAAAATTTTTTTTGAACAGGGCTGCCTTAAATACCTCCTACCTACCTTTTCCATCTCTCTCCCACCTCTTGGATCCCCAAATCCACCTCTTAGTGCCAAAGACAACCAACAGCAGTCCCTGTAAGCTGTTCCTATGTCCAATACAAGGCTTCCCATTATAGAATTTCAAATTACATGGTCTTATTGAAGAACATATCCATTTTCTCTATCTCTGAATAACTTAAGTTAACTATATGCTAAAAAAGAACAATCCTAATATTTAAAGGCCTTAAGTCATAAAATAAAACATGTAAACTCATTAACTATCTGGTTTTCTGGTAAGAAGGAAAAGAATGTTCTGATTATTATCTTATACACATAAAAGAATTTCTGTACCTAAAAAAACATTCTTTTCTTTGAAAATAGTATGTTTCTTGTTTCTGGCCCAACACAGCAGTGAATATTCAGTCATTTCAACTAAATAATATTGTGGACTCATAAACATGAATTCATTGGTAAATTCTCTTAGTCTGGAGGCAAAAAAAAAATAATAATCCAGTAACACACAAAAAATAAAAATTTATTTGTATACAAAACAGAATGGATTTTAAGAAATCCCTGTTTCTGCTAACTACATACAATACACACATTTTTGGTTTAGCTTTGCAATGCTACATTAGCTGCCTAGTTCGGAAATTTATCAGCTGATAGTATTTTGATCCAACTACCCGCCTAGTAAAATTAGGAAATTCAATCCATGCAGAAGGTACCAAAAATGGTATCCATCTAGGACTAAAAAGATCATGTAAATGACTTCTGTAATTTTAACACAAAGATTATTGTCAGCTAAAATCCTATATTAAGCCCCTTCACAATCCTGTCTTCATAATAAAAAAGGAGCAACGTTAAGACATGCTGCAGATATAAAATGACCATTCTTATCTAAAGGTGAAAAATGATAACAGGTAAGTTCTTCCAGTGGCATTTCAAATTAATGTTAACTTTCAAGGGTTTACTACACAAATAAAATTCATTTCCTTCCCAATCTTCCCCTCCACAAGTATGTTTGCCATCTACACCTATTTGTCTATGTGATCTACAAAGAAAAGTTCCCAATATGGGTTTTAAGTAAAACTGACCTGTGAATACTGAAAAGCCATTCTTTAAATATGCATTGCCAAAAATATTTGAACTCAATAAATTTAAAAAACCTACTCACATATTTTGCTGCAAAGCACTCAAGAAGAGCGACTTAAAATTTTAAGTGTCTTTTCTCTTACATCAAGCAATAAAAATAACAAGAAAAAAAGCATTTCTTCAATGGTTAAGAAACTATTTACCAGGACAAGCAACATATGAAAATAAACAAGTGTTTTATTTCATTTTCAGAAATTAATGAACTACACCTTTCCTCCACAGTAGGATGGATTTGAGCTGAATTTGAAAGAGTACATTACTAATTATCATCAACAAAAAAGCAACAGCATTTCTTCTTCTTATTTGGAAATTCTCTTTATGACAAAAAGATATCCAGCAATTAGTGGTTTTCTATACAAACTCTAACCTGAGTGCCTAAAAGAATCGTTTCCTTCAATTCTACCTCACTGGGCACCACATTTTCAAAATGGTTCTAGTTGGGGCACATGCAAGATTTGTCAAATTAACTGAACAAAGCCTCTATTAAATTGTCTAACAAAATGGAGGGCTTTCGGGGAAAAAACGGGCCATAATATTTTTTTCATAAAATGGGGCTAAAGACACCCACTCAAGAAACCATGGTTTGGGTCAGATATTTTCGTAAGAATGGTTGTTTCTGAGGGGGTTGAGAGTGCATTTCTAGGACTGGGTTTACAGCAAAGGTTTCCTCCGTACTCTGCTTGGGGGGGGGGGGGGCGGGGGCGGTTCTCTCTGGATGCTCTGGAGGACGGCGGCGAGAGATGATCCCAAAACTCTGGGTTAGGGATTAGTGCAGGGGGCGGAGGCTCTAGCGGTCCGCAGGTACCTAATTCGACCACAAAATGGGCCGCCCTACTACGCAAGAGAGACGTGGGCTCTCCAGTCCCAGCCAAGTCAACACTGAAGGCTCAAACTCTCCCCCTTCAGCCTCCAGGCCCCGCCTAAGCCCATTGGCAGCAGTTCCCGCCAATCCGCTCGGACACCGCCCCCCAAGCCCGACTGCCCAGCCCTGATTGGATGGGAGCGGAGCCGGGACCTCGTGTTACCAATCTGGGAGCCCCTTACTCAGCCACACACACAAGCCCAGGTGCGCCCGCGGAGCCCCTTCTCCTCGCCTTTCCCGTCCCCTCCCCCACCCCCAGGGCACTGGCAGAGACTTACCGTCCCGGGAGGTGCCCATCAACTGGTCCAGCATCGCGCGCATCTGGGCCTGCGCCGACATGGCGGCGGCGTAGCGGGCGGGTGGACAGGCGGGGGTGGGGCGCAGACCGGGCCCTTTCGGGAGGGGGGGACAAGGGGAAGGGCTGAGGGAAGGTGAGACGCTCTCTGGTTGCCGCCGCCGCCGCCGCCACCTCGAGGCGTGCGGGAAAGGAGCCGGAGGATTTACAGCGGAGTCCGGGCTGCGCTCCTGACGACCACGCGCACGCGGAAGACAGAGCCCCACGCAAATGACCCTCGTTCCCTCAATCTCTGTCCAAGTCCTGAGACAGAAGCGATAAGGGCTAAGCAAGCTCTCGCCTTCAACACCGCCACCCGCCAGCAGCCGTCAGCCCCCCCTTCAAGCTCTGACGCCGCTCGCCACCGCCGTCGCTGCCACGTGAGCGCGCACGCTGCTCGCGCTCAGTCGTTTTCTGCGGGTCTCCACCAACCGGCGTCCAACTGTATTTGCTCCGCCCGCCCCGCCCAGGAGGGGTTCCGCCCTAACGGCTCTCGTGCGCGTACACGCGAGTTCTCCCGCCCCTTCCTCCCAGATCTCGCGAGACTCCGGTGCTTCCCCAGACCCTCGGGTTGCGTTCGCCTGAGGCGCCAAACCTCACGTTCCCGGCTGCAGGTCGGAACCGGGCAGCGCCGCACCTTCGGCTGGCGAGCCGTTCCCAAATCAAATGTCAGAGGGTTAGCCTGAGTCCAGAGTGAGTGGAGGCCTGGCGGGTCGGCTCGACGGAGGTTAGCAGTCTCAATAGCTCATACGGGCGTCTTCCCGAGGAGTATTTACTGATCGATTAACCCCTTTTCGGGGGCCCGCCCGGAATCGTAGACTCAACCCTTTTCTCACTGCTGCCGACCCCCTGCAACAGGCGCCCTGGAGGTTTGACATCTGGGTCATTTTCCTTCATAGAGACTTTTAAGCACCCCCACCCCGAACTGGGATAAGTCAAATTAAGGAAATACCACCTGAAATTAATACACTAGGAAATAGGAGATGTAACCCATTTCGACTTGGTCATTGCTTAACAGCAGGAAGCTGTTCGCCTAAATTAGGAACTATAGAAATGAAGCGGTATTCTGAGAAGAGGTGATCTTGCAGAGAAATTTTTTCCTGCCTGAGAGAGAAATTGGAAGAATAAGGCCTCTCTTTTTATTGTATCAGCAGCAACGGAAAAGAAAGCCTGTGGGTTCGTAGTTTGCCATCACCGTGGATTGAAAACCGGTGGTGGGACTTAGAGCAATTTATTTCTTAACCTCATGTTCAATGGAAAGATAGGCTGTCCCCTAAAAAAAAAAAAATTAAAAAAATTAAAAAAATATATATATATACACACACACACACATACACACACTTTAACAGCTGATAATTCACTTAATTTTCACTCCTTTTCAGATTTAACTGGTTTGAAATAATGGGTGAAGCCAGACCAGCCGTGGGCAAACTACGGCCCGCGGGCCCGTTTGAAATGAATAAAACTAAAAAAAAAAAAAGACCGTACCCTTTTATGTAATGATGTTTACTTTGAATTTATATTAGTTCACACAAACACTCCATCCATGCTTTTGTTCCGGCCCTCCGGTCCAGTTTAAGAACCCATTGTGGCCCTCGAGTCAAAAAGTTTGCCCACCCCTGAGCCAGACTAAGCTTTAACCAAAGAAAATGTATCCTAATGTGCCACTGCACTTTTTTATGGGGATACATAAAAGATCTGGTACAAAACCACAACAGGAATTGAGGGCACACAAATACTGGAGGGAATTATTCTTTTTTTTAAAATATATTTTATTGATTTTTCACAGAGAGGAAGGGAGAGAGATAGAGAGTTAGAAACATCGATGAGAAAGAAACATCGATCAGCTGCCTCCTGCACCCTCCCACTGGGGATGTGCCCGCAACCAAGGTGCATGCCCCTTGGCCGGAATCGAACCTGGGACCCTTCAGTCCACAGGCTGACGACTCTATCCACTGAGCCAAACCCGTTAGAGCATGGAGGGAATTATTCTTGATGTTTGTGATTCCATTGCTTCCTGTTATTGTCAATGTTTAGACCAGAATGGTCATCAGTTTGAAAACACGCACTGACAAAATTAATTCATTTCTGTAATTCTTTTAAATTTAGAAAACGAACTGTATGGTTATAAATACTTACTCTATAATCATTCAAAGTGTGTATACGTTTTTTAAGACACCCTGTATATCAGGGGTCCTCAAACTTTTTAAACAGGGGGCCAGTTCACTGTCCCTCAGACCGTTGGACGGCCAGACTATAGTTTAAAAAAAAACTATGAACAAATTCCTGTGCACACTGCACATATCGTATTTTGAAGTAAAAAAACAAAACGGGAACAAATACAATATTTGTATTTGCATGTGGCCTGCGGGCCGTAGTTTGAGGACCCCTGCTGTAGATACTTTAGAGCACTGTTGTGAGGACTAAATGAGCTAACAAAAAATGACCAGCCCAAAGCCTTGCCCTGATGCTTTAACTTTCTTTTATAAAATAATCCCTTAAAATGAGACATAAGTACTTCTAGATACTTTGAAAAGGAAGTAAGGTAAAATTTGTTGTTTCATTAAAATTTCAAATGGAGCTTAAGCTTTATTAGCATGATCAACAAAAAATTAATATGAAATAGCCCTAGCCAGTTTGGCTCAGTGGATAGGGTCATGGGTTTGATCCCCATCAAGGACACATTCCTTAGTTGCCTGCTTGATCCCCAGTTCAGTTGGGCGCATGCGGGAGGCAACCAGTCTCTCTCACATCGATGTGTCTGTTTCTCCCGCTCCCTTCCACTCTCTCTAAAAATCAATGGGAAAATGTCCGTGGGTGAGGATTAACAACAACAACAAAATTTAACATGAAATAGCAATCATAGTCCCTGGATCCTTTTAAATGCATATTGGGCCAATAAAAATTTTAGGATCACATTGCCTTCAGTAACTGACAAAACAGTTTTTCCATTCAGTTATTTAGGTAACTAAAAAGTCAAACAACTCCAAGTACTAGGACTGTCATCCTTTGAAAACTATTTACAATAAAAGAAAAATGTTCAAATTAATATCCTTATACATAATAGGGATGCACTATTATATACGTTACTAGAGGCCCAGTGCATGGATTTGTGCAGGGGAGGGGGGGTCCCCTCACCCTGGCCTGTGCCCTCTTGCAATCCGGGACCACTCAGGGGATGTCGGACTGCCGATTTTGGCCCAATCCCCACAGGACAGGCTGGGGATCAGGCAGAAACCAGCAGTTCAATGCTGCCTGCCCCTCCTGCCTGCCACTCCCGCTCATCCCAGCCCAGTGAGTCCTAATTGATCAGGAGAGGCTTGTGCCCGGTGAGCCCTGCATCTGGCACCTGTTGGCTGAGCAGCACTCCTTCTGTGGGAGTGTACTGACCACCGGGGGCAGCTCCTGTATTGAGCTTCTGCCCCATGGTGGTCAGTACGCATCATAGCGACAGGTCAACGGGTCACTCAGTCACTTAGGCTTTTATATATATAGATATGCTCAGGAGGGGGGAACTAACACTAAAATGTTGAATAATTATGTTAGTGAAGAGATTTTAGTCTTAACTTTGTCTTTCTACTTTTCTGGTTACTTACATCTCTTATGAACATCATCTAGTTTTGTTCATTTTTAATATGATATTCCTGTCTTTTAATTGAAGCAGTTAATCATTTATATTCATGTAATTAGTCATATTTTGGATTTAAAGCTCTTATTTTGTCTAGTTGTCTGAATGTTTTATGTTTAATTTTTCTCTCTTTTCTTGCTTGCCTTTTAATCATTCCATTGTTTCCTCTTCTGGTAGTTTAGAAGTTTTATTCCGTTTTTATTCTTTTGGGTTTTTTAATATATTTTTATTGATTTCAGAGAGGAAGGGAGAGGGGAGAGATGGAAACATCAATGATGAGAGAGAATCATTGATTGGCTGCCTCCTGCACGCCCCCTACTGGGGATCAAGACCAAAACCTGGGCATGTGCCCTTGATGGGAATCAAACCCAGGACCCTTCAGTCCACAGGCCAACGTTCTATCCACTGAGCCAAACCAGCTAGTGCCATTTTTATTCTTTTAATGGTTACCCTGGAAGTTATGACAGACATCTTTAATGTATCAATGACTAATTTCATCAATACCTTTCCACAGATAGATAACACAAGGAACCTAGAAAACCAGCTACATTTAACTTGTTATATGCTCTTTAGTTCTATGTTTCTTTTTTTTTAAACCAAGTTTCATATAATTGATGTTTATTTACCACTTTCTTTGCTCTTCATTCCTTCTGGAATCTCTGCCTTTCCATTTGGGATCATTTCCATTTTGTCTGAAGTTTAAACTTCAGGACAGGAATCAGCAATCTATAGTCCACAGGCCAAATCTAGCCTACTATCTATTTTTGTGAATACTTTCATTGGAATACTGCCAGGCTCATTCATTTGCTATTGTCTGTGGTTTCTTTTGCTCTACAAAGGCAGAGTTGAGTGGTTGTAACAAATACCATGGTCTGCAAGACTAACATATTTACTATCTGGCTCTTTACAGAAGTTTGCCTACCTTGCTTGTTTGTTTTTGTGCTTGCCTGTGAGAAACTTTACTTTGCCTTTCTTAATTCCAGGTGAATATTTTTATTGGATATAGGATTCTAGGTTGGAAGTTTCTTTCTTTTGGTACATAGATTCTATCTTTCCTGCTGCCTTTTACCTTCCATTCCCTCTAAGAAATCAGCTATCTGCCGGAAGCCGGTCCATCCTTGCTGCTTGACACAGTCGCTGCAGGAAAGAAACATCTGCACAGCATATGTTTCAAGGGACCTGGCATATATAGCATATTGTTCTTAATATGTTTGCTCTCCTTAGTGCCATGTGTTTTAACCAAGGTCACCTCTCCGAGAAAGGTTGTTTCCCGAGGTGGGGATTTTTCCCTGAGGTTAGGGAGGGGATACAACCCCTTAATTAAGTGCCAGGCGGGTAGTTAAGCTACATAATCTTTACTCCCTGGAATGGAGATAAGAAACGCCCTAACCTTTGCAATAGAATTTGATAGGATTAAAATCGGCTGGTATAAATATAGATGTAACAAGACAATAAACATCAGATCCTCATCAGATCCTGATCATATCCTAACCAGAACTTTGGCTGGAGATCCTGGCTAGAGGTCCTGACTAGGCTGCTGATCAACTGAAGGCTGTCTCCATGTCATTCCTTCTTCGCCGACTCCGTCCACACCTTTGGGGACCCCTGGACCTGCTGGGGTTGGACCCCAACAGCTATCAGTCTGTTAGTCTTTGGAAGATAGTTTGCTGCTTTCCAATTTTGTTCTTTTTGCCTTTGGTTTTCTGCAATTTACTGTGATGTATCTGGTTGTGGATTTATTTTTATTTATTGTGCTT